CCTGTATAGTGCTGGCTTCTCATCTATAGGACCTTCAAAGTTTCACCTTCACAACCACCAGCCCAAGACAAATTGGCATAGCAGAAAGTGATAGTTGCTCTGTGTGAGTCTAGAAGAAGAATATATATTCTTTCCTTTTAATCTTCTCAAACACATTTGATTTGATTCCCATGTCGATTTTCATTTTGACAAGATAGGTGGCAAGGAAAGCACAATTGTATAGATTTGCACATTTAGTCACATTTTCAAGGCATGAGTAAAGAAATCTTTCCTGGTTAATGACTTAAAATGTCCTGTCACTCTGATCGTAAGTATGAAAATATGCAGAAATCAGGATGTTGTAATATGCCTTTGCAATATCCCATTAACTCACTGGACTGAGCAGTATTTTGAGGTGTCAAGGGCAAAGAATTATAATTCAACTGCCACTGATTTGTTACATCCACCAATGAGGCAAGGCACACTAATGCTGAGGGGTTAATTTTATAAGCTACCTTCAATTTCAGGAGGAGACAGGCTCTTATAATAGAAGGGATAGATTTGTCAGCATTCCTGGCCATGTTCTTTCAGTGCAAGTGAGGCAAGTATTGACAAGCATGCTGCCGTTGGAGCTGAGAGAGAAAGCTGGTGCTGATGAAGATTTTGCCCTTATGAATTCACATATCTTATGTCTTGATCATAAGTGATGTGATTATTTTGATATCAGGGAAACTTTGACCACCAAAAGAAGGGAGTAGTTTTAAAATTATTGTTTTTAAGCCTTTTCCTTATTGAGACCAAGAAATAAAAAATGCCTTTGCTTTTAAAAATCCAGTAGATCAGGAAGCTGTGCATTTTGAAATTAAAAAAAAAAAAATTAAAAACATCTGATCATGGTTTTGTATTTAGAAACAACCCATTGTTCTTTCCTGAATTCAAAATCTGCATTTCCTTAATGATGGATATTATATAATAGTGAAGTTTTTTCTCCACAATGTCTAACTCTACCATCTGGGGGTGAGTTTTTACAATAGTGTCATGTGGCAGAGTTTTGGAATCACATGGCTAACTTAGCTTCTTTATTTAATATCCACAGAATACAATTATAAATCTTATTGGCCACCTTATTATATGCCATTGTTGAAAGAGAAACAGATGGAGGGAAAGAGGATGATGGACTTTGTGAAAATCTATTATGAGTCCAAAAATCACTTCCCTATTATCAATATCAAACTGGAATTAATCCAATACATGTATTTACATGTATTGTAAATTCATTATGTGTAAGAAATTCTAACAAAGTTTATGGAAGACTCAAACAATTTATAAGACACTGTGCCTGCCATCATGAAGTAGACAAACTTGTAAAAGATCAAAAATATGCATGCACACTACACACACATGCACATATACAAATATAAACAACAAGATATATTCTGTTGAAGAATTAAATGTAATATCATGAGGCTATGAAAGAACAGAAAATTATGTAGCTGAAGAAATATAACTAGAATATCAATTATGAGCAAATACAAGTTACTCCTATGTTTTAAAAAATATTTCATTTTAGAAAAAAAATAGATTTACAGAAAATCTAGCAAAATAATACAGATTTTCTGTATATCCAGCTTCCTCTCCTGTCAGTATCATTTATAATAATGGTATGTTTGTCAAGTCAAAGAAATTAACCTTGACACATTACTATTAACTAAATCACAGGTTTTATTTGGGTTCACCTCTATTTCATTAATATGCTGTTTCTATTTAACAATTCAATCTAGACTGTAATGTGTTTAAGATATAAACAATTTCAATTCATAATTTCCATCCTCAATTGCAATCCTTGATAGTTTGTTTGGTAAGATAAAATTGGGTTCTAAAGTCTGAAATTCCTGGTTTTAAATTCTTGCTTGGCCCATGACCTTACTACTATAACAATGACCATGCAAGTAAACATTTCTAGGCCTAAGTGTGCTCATTTGTGAAATAGGTAGCAACTTCAGGAATATTGTTCCACATGAGGAAATGTATTTAAAGTGCTTATCTTTTGTCTTGCCCTAATATTTAATAATTATTAGGAAAAATTATATTTATATTGATTCACTTGAAAATATATTGATTTGTGTGAAAATAAAATGGTGTCAGAGATTTAGCAATACCTATTATGATACAAGAATGACTACATTTTAAATCTCAAATAAACAATACAAGGAAGTAAAAGTTTAAAATAAAGAGAGAAGAGCCTCCTGGTGTCTCAAGGGGTTAAGCACAGCACTGTGAAGCTATCCTCTACTGCATCATGAGTTTGATCCCTGGCTGCCAAGGAGCTACCCACATGGCGCAGCAGAACTTTCCTGTATCGCCTGCTGCTCCCGTTAGCAGTGTATTTCATTCAATTTGACTGTTCTGTCCCTCACTCTGTCTCTGGTGAATCCTTTCACACCCCACACCTTTGGCCTGTACCCAAGTTCTTGTAGCATAAATAAATAAATCTTCAAAAAAATTAAAAAAAAAATAACAAGAGAAAACATTTTGGAGGAACTCTATCTTAAGTTCATAAGGGATAATGCATTTTAGGTGTCCATATTAAAGAACAAAATATAAAAAAGAAGAAGGGGCAAGATGTGATTTGGCAGTAATGATGGATTTATGAACATAAGCATTTAGAGAAGGCTAGCATGGGAAACTGGCAGTTTTCTTGATGGACTTAAATTCCATGCGGGAAGATTCTGTAGGCAACATATTTCCACTGAAGGTTTGTTTTCTAAGTCACCATTTCATAAAGTAGACAAAATTAGTTTTTCATGGAACAGGTCTATTTGGACTGCCATTAATGGCCTATTTAGGAGATAGGTAAAGTTAAAAAAAAAATTAGGCTGTTTAATAAGATTCCTGGAATCTTGGGCAGATACTGAATTTAGACTCAAGTAATTTTGGATTAAACTGTTCCTTAGAGCTTTTATTTTTTTTTTATTTTATTTTTTTTAAAGATTGATTTATTTATTTGTTTGTTTGTTTGTTTATTTATTTATACAAGCACTGGGTACAGTCAGAAGCGCGGGAGGGTGAGAGAATTCACCAGAGCCAGAACGGGGAGCAGAGCAGGCAGAAGGACCGAAGTACACTGCTGAGGGAAGAAGCGTTTGTCAGGAGCGGTCTGTGCGCCATGTGGGACCCTCCTCAGGTGGCCTGGGAGCAGCCGGGGATCAAGCTGGCGCTGCAGAGGCTGCGGGCAGCTTCGTAACCCAGCACTCAACCGCTGCGCCACCGGGGAGGTCCCCTTAGAGCTTTTAAAAGAAATTTTAGCTTTTTTGCAATAATCACATAAAACATTTCTGTATCAATTTTCACTTGGAAACCACCTACTTGGTAAACTGCAGATCAGAGGGTGAGCATCCTCAACAACTTATTGAAAATGTTAGATATTTTGGTCTCTATGTGTGTAGGTTAATATGAGAAATATTTATCAAGATTTTTATTGGTATTACCCCAGTCATGATTTTCATATTTATTGTTTTAGGGGAAACAGTGATATTATATACACTCCAAGGTTTATTTGTGAATATGTTTACAGATCCACATTATAAAAGAGTGAGAGGAAATTATAAGGAAAAGTTCTCTGGACTTAGCGTCAGAAGCTTTGTGTCCTGGCTCTATGAGTTTTACATTATCATTCATGTGATTTTGAGCAGTCTCAGGTTCTTTGAGCATTATTTTCTTAACCTATCAACTAGAAATGATATTATGTAACACTAGGTTATCAAACTAAATGTAAGAGGCAAATTAAATGTTGAATGTATGAGTTCTTTGTAGAGCATGGCATTTATATAAATTTTCTTTTTACTCTCCAACTATTTCAGAATGTTAGATTTCCCATGTTTGGGATCATGACAGGTGAATAAATCATATCTATAAATTTCATTTTATCAAAATCCTTTTAACTCTATTCCCCACCAGTTTGTCATGGATAAAATAAAAAGGGTAATGAAATGCTATGGATTTTATCCTGAACACTTTTTTTCTTTGTATTCATTTCCAAATAAAAGTGCCATTCAGGTATAACAATGAAGAATATAAAATTATAGGGAAAATACATGAAATAAAAGATTGAGTTATCCTAAAAACGAATCATTTATACTTCTTCCTGTCATGCTGAATGCAGTATCTTTCTCTTTACCCTCAAGTTCAAAACATATCCTTCTTTCATAACTTATAAACATTCCCACATGATGGTTTCAAATGAGAGAATTATAAGTGAGGAAGTGAATCTGACCAATGAAGAGATTTGAAGAGTGCTTAATTTTTTTTTTCTTCTAAAGAAATATGTTCCAGAGTTAGGCAATTGTCCCCAGTTCCCAGAAGTTCAAACCCAGTGATTAGCAAGGAAAGTCAGAGGTGATAAATAGATTTGTAGAACCTATTGGTTTTGGAGAAATTTTTTCAAATGAGTAAATGATTAAAATGGCTCAGTGAAAATCACACACAAAAGGGTAAAATATAATGACTATCTGATCTGTTAAAAGGAAAAAGCTTTTAAACTAATCGATCTTTTCTACAACAATTTATGTCATAGCCTTTTAAGATGATCCCATCTTAAATGGGGAAGTGACAAAGAAATATATATCTAATACACTTGTTCAATGGATAGATTTTCAGTACCCTAAGAAAATGCATTTGAGAACTCAGCTTTCATTTTTTAAAGGAGACTATACATTAGATTATTGGGGATGATCTTATATTTAGTTTTACTATTGTTATCACTAAGGGTTAGAAAGTAGAAAATTGAGACCAGGGGTTTTTCTTTAGCTTGATGGGTAATCACGTAGCAATCATTTAACCTCCATGAGCTTCATGCTGGCATCTCTCAAAGGAGTACACTAATGTATGTCACACTAATGCTTGCCATCCATCTACTTCATGGACACATTACAAGGGTTAACTAATAAGGCTGATAAGCACTTTGCAAATTCAAAGTACAAAGCAGAAGTGCTAAGTAAGCTAAATAGAAAGAAAAGGCCCACCTGATGTTCACTGATTTGAATTTTCAATGGTTATGGATTTCATGAATACTTTCTTCGACACTTCACAATAAAGTAAGACTGTTTAAGAAAGAACATTGTGTGAATCTTTTCCAGTGTGAACAAGTTTCATATTACTAAGATGTGTTCATTTTCAATAAATCCCACAATTGTGTATCATACTTCATATAAGAATCATAAGATTTTTTTAAATTCCTCTACTGTAGTAGTATTTTTAGTAAAATAAGTTATGATGACAAAAATAATTAAATAATTGATCAGAAAATCAGGATATCAGTGAACATATTTTCCTTGACTCCTGATGAAATATATCTCAACCATGGAAAGAAAGATAAACTCTAAGGGAGAGAACATTTTTTTCAATAATGGTTTAATATTCATTCCTAGTCACACCTACTTCAGCTGTCAGGAAGGAGACTAATTAGTGCCAGTGATGATGGGAGTTTTGGGGATGCCAACTTTTGTCTTTTAAGAACTGGATTAAACTCAAAGTCATTTCCCACACTCTGCAAAACGAAATGCTTTGACTATGTTTAAGCAAAGACACAGATGAAATCATTTCTACCAGGCTTTGATATTATGGTTACAACTAGAGGTGGACAGGGAAGTGTGGTGGGGTTATCATTCCTGAAAATGCAGTTCAACCAGACTTACTCTGTATTAGTCTGTCAAGGCTACCATAACAAATGCCACGGAGTTGGTGGTTTAAACAACAGACATTTGTTTTCTTACAGTTCTGGAGGCTAGACATTCATGATTAAGGTGCCAGCAGATTCATTCTCAGATGAGAGCGTTTTCTCTAACTTGTAGACAGTCGCCCACTCTCTGTGTCCTCACGTTGCCTCTTTTCTGTGTTCCTTAGAGACAGAACTCTGCTGTCTCTATTTTTTTACAAACATACCAGTGTAACTCATCGAGGCTCCATTTTTGTCATCTCCTTTAACCTTTATTATCTCCAAAAAGGTCCTATCTTCAAATATAGTAATATTGCAGTTGGAGTGTCAAAATATGAAATTTGGAAGGATGCAATTCAGTCTACAACACTATGACATGTTAGGTCATTGATACCCAATTATTCTTCATTTGACTATTCTAGCTGCTTGCACAGCTACAATAGTCTGTACATTTTACATGTCCCAAATAAGCATAAAAGTAAATTCTTCATCTTGTATCAATTTCCATAGACAACGATGTTTGTTCTGTTTGAATAACAATGATATAGTCACCAGCGATATAACAAGATTAACCTATCTCCAATCTACATACAGTTTGTTGAGAAGCTAGGAAAAAAATCCATTTATCTTCTCCAGTCTTACTGGTAGTTGGAAAAACTGGGTGAGACTGGCTCATGAATGTCCGTATAGTACTGATTTGCTAGAAATTCAATCAGAAAGAAAATTATTTCAGTCCATTATTCTCAAACTAAAACAAGACCTTTTAAAATGTAAAAAAAAAAAAGTACTTTCCCAGAAATCCCTTAAGTTAAATTATTTAAGATGTAATTGTATATTTTATTTTTCCCTTTTTAGACTCCATCATTATTATTTTAATACAGCATCACACACACACCCTACCCCAAACCTGAAGCTAGTAAGTGTGCCTGTATTGGACTTGGAGTTATATATGATTTACCTAATAGTTTACCATCCTGTATGCATTTATGTGATTATAATTGCATAAAAATTATATTAGCACCAAAGAGTGCCATTTTAATCTCTATAAGGAGGAAAGAATAGTTTGTATGAAGGGAAGACTAAATGTCAAATCTACTCAGCATGTGATAGAAAAAATGACACAATCACTGTTGTATATGCCCTGAAGAAATTATATCAGTAGTGGGCAATCATATTTGTCAAGTCACTGATGATTTAGCTTCATCACATATTCATTCAATTAATGCCAAAATTGAATTATCTCTATTTAACTATTTTTCTAGCATTTAATTTGTAAATGCACTCTGGATATGTAGTTAAATATGATCCTTAAATATAAGGAGGCCATATACATAGTTTTATTTCTGTACACTTAGCAGGCTGTAGTCTTTCAATATTTAAAATGTATACGAGTGTGTTAAATATCATGAGGGGAAGAAAATTTAGGTAATTTTAATCTATGAAGATCCAAATTTCTCTCTCTCCAAGGTCTAATTTTCAATTGTTTATCATTTCAATGCATATAAATGCTCTAATGAGACTCTCCACAATTATTATGAGAAAAGTGCAGATAGCGTTATTGGCAAAGCAGAATAAAGTTAGGAAAGCAATTATAGAAAAGAGGGCAGTGAGGAACCTGAATATTAGTTTTTTTTCCACTCCCTCAGTATATTAGGTTGACTTATAAACCTGCCAAAGCTATGTCCACGCCTCACTAAGAACCTCTGAAAATTACTTTTTTTAAAGGGCTTTTGAGGTACATTTGAGCATCTTGATATAGAGTCATCCTTCATTAGCATAGTCCCTAAATCTAATGACTAGGATTCTTATAAGAAGGAGAAAAAATACATAGCTGATTATTTAGAGCTAGAACTAGAGATTGAAATGATAGTGCCACAAACTGAGGAAAACCTAGAACCATCAGTAGCTAGAAGAAGTAGGGAAGAAATTCTCTCCTAGAACTTCAGAGAGAGTGCCCCCTGCTAATGCTTGGATTTTGGATTTCTGGCCTCCCAAACTATAAGAGATTATTTCTGTTGCCTTTAGCCACAAAGCATATGATAATTTATTACAGCAACCCTAGGCAAGTAGTAAAATATCAGTATGTCAGAGAAGTAACTTAATAGATCATAGCCAGGTGAAAGTGAAAGTCAAGAGGAAAATAACTTTCTTGCCCCCAGGAGCCAGGTTGGGTCAGTGTCCTCAGTGTTCAGCTAATTTCACAGATGCCAGATGTGTGAGAGTTCTTTCTTCCACCGAATGTTTTCTGAGGGACCCCTCAGAGGGGGCAAGTGCTTGTTCCATATTTTGAACTTAGTTTTGTTGTTCTCTGTTACCAATGTATGGATGTTTAATAGAAATTGAAATCCAAAATACCTGGTCTGCAATGACCACCTAATAACCAGCTTCACTGAGCAGCTTCAGTTCTTACTAGAGGAAAGACTAAGAAATAATAGGGTAAATATTTATAGAAAGATAATATGTGCTATGAACAGCTACCAGAAACTCAACTTAGCAGGGGAAGTATGGTGTAGACCTGAAATGTATCAATCCTTTGAGGTATGTCTATGAGGCAGATGAATTTGAACTTGGCTGTGTAAGCGCAAGAGTGTAGGGAAGAAATATCTTTAGATTAATAGGAACATCATTTTGAGGTCAGTGACAGGAGCATCTACCAGATTCTTACTTAGCTTACTTGTCCTTTATTCTGTCACTACCTTTTGAGGCAATTAGTGTGTGTGTGTGTGTGTGTGTGTGTGTGTGACTCTCAAAGGTAATCTGTTAAAGACATCTGATAATTAGAGGATCTTTCATCAAAATATATGCCGTATTTATATTTACTAACTCAAAAGGATTTTTTATGCCTGCTTTTCTTTTGATCTAGGGACCAGGGACACATTAAGGAATGACACATGTACAGTAGGTTGCCTCAAAAAGCTATCTTTACATCTATACTAAAAAGTAAGCTTCTGTCTAAAACACACAAAGTAAATCTATTTGTGATCTGTGCGCTTTAGACTTCATTTGGTCCTAAATACCTGCTGTCTTGGAGTCTGCCATTCATTTTATGTCTCTTGTATGCCTTCAAAAGACATAAAAAGCCACTGAGTTACATTTTCTCCAAAAATTATCTTAAAGCCCTTAAAAGGTCTATGTTGCAGCCTAACTGTACTCCTAGTACTGTCCTGAGAATGGAAGGAAAAAGAGGTTGCTTTGTCTTCCAAATTGATTTGACCCAACTACTAATAACGCTCATTCATCTATAACAATTTTGTCTTTCTTAGGGAGCTTTCATCCTCCTCTTATTTTATCCTCACCAAGGATTCAACTTCCTAAGCCAAATTGTTCTCTACATTGCCAGCTGGCTCCTTGAATTTCTGGCTTTGACTTCTCAGTATGCTACGACATATTGGTCAGGGAAGTTAGACAGGAACTTCCTAAGGCCATATTTCTGTACCAAACAATGGCAATGCTCATGCTCCTATAATTTAGTCTTTTTACATATTAGCAGAGTAATAACTTTTCCTCATCAAGGGAGTCCTGACTGGACATAATTTATCAGAGGATCAGTCTGATTAGAAAACACAAGTAAGTCTGTAATGATTTTTGGAAATGAATCTGCTATAACAAATGCAGCTTGTCAATTCCCCAATTCTTCTCAGCTTTTTGAAGAAAATGGTATCATGGACCTTCACTTGACATTGGTGTGAACGAAAACATCATGTATCACATTCTCAGGAAACAGGTTGCCATAACATCTTGCAGCATGCTTGGATGTTCTGGATATCATAAGGCCAACCAGAAGGTCAGAAACTGAAAATTGTTTTGTAAAATAGTTTGAGTGAATGTCTTAAGGTTATAAAGGTAAAATGCCATCGTGTTTTGTATATTTCAACCTTTAGATGTAGAACTATAATGGAAACAAAAGTGGAGATGGCACTTGAAGTATGATTTTCATTTGCAGTGGTATATTTTAAGGACTCCTTGGAAAAGCTTTAAAAATGACACATATTTGATAATCTTTCAAATGCATGAAAGATTTCCAAAATGTTCTTTAGTCTCATAATTAGTAACTAACTGCTTTTGTTGTGATGCATACGTTCTGGAAGGTCATATCTTCATTTTGATTTATCTCCTTGTATTTTTAAATTTCTTCTTTGATTTCCTCATTAACCCCATTATCATCCAGGATTGCATTGTTCAGGATCTGAGTTTGAGAAGTTTTACTAGCTTTCTTTTTAATTTCTGGTTTAATGTAGTTGTGATCAAATAAGATACTTAATATTATTTCAAACTTCAAGAATTTATTGACACTTGTTTTGTGACCCAATATGTGATCTATCCTAGAGAATGTTTTATGTGCACTTGAGAAAAATGAGTGCTGAGGTGTGAGGGGAAATAACGCTCTATAAATGTCTTAATAGGCTTATCTGATCTAATTCCTCCTTTAAAGCTATTGTTTCATTGTTGACTTTCTATCTTGTTGATTGGTCCATTGATGAAATTGGAATGTTGAAGTCCCTTAATATTACTGTTCCTTTTTTTTTTTTTTGCCAGTGTTTGTCTTTACATTTGCTAATAGCTGCCTTATATATTGTGATGGTTTTTGTTTGTTGCATAGGCATATATATATTGATAAGTGTTATTTGTCCTGATGTTATGTACCCTTATAATCTCCACTCCATCTCTAGTTTCCTTTTTTTGTGGAAGTTTGTTTTATCTAAAATAAGTATGGCTGCCCCTGCCTTTCTTCATGTCCCATTTACATGTAAGATTGTTTACAAACCATTCCCTTTAAGCTTGTGTTTGTCTTTAGATTTCTGAAGGTTCTCCTACTGGCAGTATAAATTTGGGTTTTGTTTTCTGGTCCAATCAGCCACTCTTAGTCTTTTGACTGGTGAGTTAAATCCATTTGCATATATGGGTGTTATTGGTATTGGAAGATATGCTAGTGCTATTCTATCTTTAGAGTCTATTCTATCTGATTATTTCCTTATTTACTTTCCTGTGGCTTTTCTTTGCTTTGATTTAGGTAGGAATGTTCCTTTCAACATTTCTTGTAGGGTAGGAATAGGATCTGCAAACTCCTTCAGTTTCTATTTGTGTGAGAAGAACTTTCTTTCTCTCATATTTAGAAGAGATTTGTGCAGGATATAGTATTTCTGGTTGATGGTTTTTATTCTTTTACTATTTTGAAAACATCATTCCATTCTCTCCCTGACTTTCCTCATGAAAATCAAATGTAAATCTGATGATCATATTAACACAGGTAGAGAAGGCAATTGACAAGATTCAGCACCCATTCATGATAAAAACTCTTAGTAAAATGGAGTTAGAAGGAACATAGCTCAATATTGTAAGTGATATATGGTAAATCCAGAGCTAGCATCAAACACAATGGTTACTAACTGTGAAAAACTAAAAAAATTTCCTTTAAGATCAGGTATACAACAGAATGTCAACATTTACCACTGCTATTCAAAGTAGATTTGGAAGTCCTAGCTAGAGTGATTAGCAAGAAAAAGACATAAAAGAAAATCAAAATGGGAAAAAAAGAAGTTAAACTATCATTATTTGCAGATGATATAATCATACACATATATATATATATCCACATATATACATGTATATATATACATATATACACACATATATACATGTACACATCTATGCATGTACACATATATACATACACATATATACACATATCATGCACATATA